CCGCCGTCGATTTCGAATAAAATAACTGCAGTCTGTGTTTAACGCTGCTAACTGTACGTTAATCTATATATATCGCCGCAGATAATGCAATTAGTTGGAATGGACTTCGCCCGCTGTTGAAGTACTTAACGCGCAATGCGTTTCAAGCAGACCCCTGGTAAATGTTTGAAACAAAAATCGGCTAAAAACAAATTCGATTTATTCGCGACAGAACCGAAAATTATTACATCTATCTACACACGGAGAAACAATCAGTTTGAAATGTACTTCTCAAACTGATAACTGCCGTGATTAATCCATCCTCGGTCTCGGCCCTGTAAATTCTTGTCGAGCAATCGCAACGATAATATATTGATCGGCGATCTAACCGGGTGCCGGCTTCGTGGAATAGAATTAAGATGCCTGCCGATTAAATCCGTGCCCAGCCTCCGTGCGCGGCACAGGCGACTAAACCGGTTTATTACAATATCCACTTTAATGGACACGCCGGAGAGAAAGCGCGGCTCCCGTATCACGTTACATTCACAGCATTTGCTGCGTTTTATCGAAAGGGGAAGACAATGACGCGCGGGACAAAAAGCGCGTGCCACGAAGGTCCAAAACTCCAAAACATCGGCAAACGAAACGACGACGCCGACGATGAAACGGCCTTCGCAAGCTTCTTCAACCGTAATGTCGACGGCATAAATTCAGATGTTTGCGGATTATATGGCCCCCGACTTACGGGGCTGCCCTGTCTCTCCCTGTCTCTCCCTCTAGCCGCACGAAAGGAGGGAAGGGGATACGCCTATTATCTGTACAAGCGGGCTATTTATATACCTCGTCTGCGAAAAAAAGATGGCAATAATGGAGATAATGGCCTGACTTACGGTCGGCGGGGCTATGAAGTTGTCGTACTTTGATACACGAGCGAGAGGACCGTCTTATCGGTGCGCGCCACATCCCCGCGCGTTTCGCCGTTCGCGAATCGGTCTCGAATGCCTCGCACGCGGCGCGCCGTCATGGCCTCGAATCGCGATAGCGTATACACACGCCCGCGCCGCTGATTTCTTCGGCTAGTTTCGGGGAAAGAAGAAGGTGAAAAATGGCCGCGCGCGTGGAAGAGCGCGCGCCACGGAATCGCACCGGTCTCGCGTCGGCTCGTATCGCGTCGCTTCTTACCGTCGTCCATGTCGGAGAGTAGCTTAAAGTGCACCAAGCGCGCCGGAATTCGTGCTTTTTCTTGTATCCGGATTCCCTGTGACGCGAGCGCGAAGAATTATTGTTACGAGCAAGAAACGGGAATGAACATAGAGACGTTACTTCGACTTTTAACTTCCGCAGACACCGGGCGTAGAGAAAATAGAGTACAACTACAATTGTGTGTTGTTTTCATTTTTCAGGATAATTTGTTCTGCTCGTCGCTGCTTTAGAAACAATATATTGCGTAAGAAATAAAAATAGCCTCACGGCAATGCAAAATTAAAATTATTTCTCATCTCAAAAAAATGTAAAATAAATTTAGTATAAACTGTAGCTGCAAAATTACTTGTTTTTTTATTGATATGCAAGCAATACCGATGCTCGTACCAATATCTATGTGAGTTACGTTAAAATAATCAAACGATATTGTTTCACAAGTGATAACTATATAATACGAGACATTGCGTCTAACTTTAACAACTCCATAATAAGATATTAACATTATATATTCCAATTTCTATATCGCTGTTTGATTCAGATATTGCTGCTGTATGACTTGCAAATAAATAATGGCGAATTGCAAAATCACTGAATATGCATATTAATCAAATAATCTCTCTGATGTATCATTCGCGGCGATTTCAAGTCACCTTGTGATTATAAGCCTTATTGCGCATGCATAGCGTATAACTATGCGAGGCTTTGCGAGGGCAAACACCGCGACAGATCTGCGCGCGAGAGACGGAATATTATCATTAACCCGCATGGACAGTGTGAATGATTGAACCACGTACGCTGGCAGAACTTGATGATGAGTTCCTGACGCGGCGAGTGGCGTCGAGTATGATGAATATTCTTCCCGGATGATAGCTCGATGGGAAATGAAACGGATCGGTGACACGCGAGCGTGAAATTATAGATGTGCGCGCATCAAGTATTCCAGCGACCAAAGGTGCATTTATACTATACCGAACACGGGCGATCGGGCACGAGCAAACGAATGCCAGTCGCTGTAATGGGAACGGTCATCAAGAGCGAACGAACTCGACCATTCATGCCCGAAATCGGCATTTTGAAACTGTGTATTCGAGGGCCGAATGAATCTCTCCGAACATAAATCTACACGTCGAATTTCAATGAGGATTGAATGGCGCTCCCAACTATAGCTTTCAACGCAGGTACTTAATTATAATTACTGCAATTACTAGATTGTTATTACATGAAATGTTATTATCGTTATTACTATAATTGCTTTCTTTTAACAGCATCGGTAAATTTTTGCGCTTACTTATTATACCAATATGAAACGTGCAAAATTTACGTTACGGTATTCTACTTTTTCAAGAAAGTTATAAAGATTGTAAGAAATAGCACGTAAAAAATTTTTAAACCGCAATACGCGAGATGAAAGAATAAAATAAAATAAATTGCGACAGGTGCATCGTGGACCTGCGTCATCTGCATGGTGTATACGCGCTTACAGTGCAAGTGGCATAAACAAAAACACAAATAAAGCACGATACTCGCGTAGTGTGAACGAATCGTAACGACTACAATCGAAACATCGTCTCGCATTTACGATCGGCATACCGATCGGTCGCCGCATAGTCTCATGGAGGGACGAAGGTAGCACGCAAAGTTTGCGGCTGTAGAAAAACAAAGGTGGGGCCGGCAAGATATTCTGGTCACTCGACGAAGCAGGGGACTACCACAATGAATTTGAAGCATCGCGGAGCGCGCGCGCTCGCGTTTGTGAGAGAAACGTTTTTTGAGATAACCTACAGATTTGTTTCATCCAAGCCCGACGAAACTATATATAGATAATATAGAGCGAGTTCTCAGTCGTCGCGAGCCGGTGAATTCTTCATTTTTTTATTCATTCCGGGTACATAACTAAATAAAAGCTACCGCCATCCAAAAGACATTGATGGATGTTAATGCACATTTGCGAAATCAAATCCTCTCTGAAATATGTATATTCCAATGTTACCTGCGAATCAAGAGTATTTACATTTGAAAAACACGACGGCAAATTACGAAGAATTAAATTAGCCGTATTAAAAAATAAAACAAATTGCATCAGGTGCAATAACTGCAAATTGTAAAAAAAAAAAACATTTTTTAGGTAATAAATGTTTTTGGTAATAGCAAAAAGTTCTTTAACTAGTCTGAAACTTAATTGAAACCTATTCTTCTAATTAAAACGTCGAGGCATAATTAATTAGGTTTTGAGTTAAAAATGAAGGGCTCTCCATGAACTACATAAATTCTCCCTATTCCTTCTAAACTGTGACTACACAACAATATTTTACATCGTTCACTTAAAGTTCAAATAAAAAATATTCAAGTAGATTACTTTTCTTAAGAGAGAGAGAGAATTTTAACTAAATTTTTAATAAATTTAAAACTCAAGCCAAAACACGTTTATTTGCTTTCTCCTCATGTATCAAAGTCGTATTTTCGTCCATTTATTTCGTCTCGTTTATTTGCCTCTGTCTAGTTGAAGACAAAAATATCCATCTATTTAAAGAAAAAAGTTTTCCAATAGTAGATCAATATGAGACCACCATTCAACTTCGTGAGCTTAGCGCGCTTTTACTTGTTGCGATAATATCAAAGCAAAATAATAAATAACATAAACATGGAATTGGAAATACAAAATTATAAATAAAAAGATATCGGATTAGATTAATTTTTTCCATTATTGACTAAAAATAGGAAAATAAATATCAGAGTTATATAATTTAATAATAAAGTATATATCTTTGAAATATATAAATATAACTCAGATATTTGCCATATTCTGCTAAATGCTGCAATTTTCTCACAGCACTGTCTCTCAGACCTGTATCTGTCCATCTCTTTCTCTCGCAGGTGCTTAAAAATAACAATGCTCTCAAGATGCAATGTCTCGAGACGTAGAAACAACAGCGGGCGAGTTCTCTGGTCCGATGTTCGCGAACGCCCGTGGAATATACGAACGGACCCGGCACGATCACGGCCGAGACCTTTTGTTTGTATCGGCAAAGGATAAATATATCCCTCGGGATAGCACAGGCGGATACATACACTTACTCAGGTCGAAAATGGCTGGATCCGCGTGCCATTGCCAACGATCTGTTCCACGAGAGTTCTGCGATATCACGCGTGCAACGTGCGTCCAATCGTACCGTCGCGGATTCGATATACACGCCCGAGAAGAACACGCTACTCTACCTCGATCGAACCTCTGTAAATTAACCGCAAACGTCGGACGGTCGTAAATAAAGCAGCAGCGGTCGCCGAAAAAACCGGTCCCTACTTTCGACGGCCAATTCGCGGAATCATAAATAAAGATAATCTTAGATTTTATTTTTGCTCTCTTCCGGAGTGCAATTATATTTAAGATATACTACAATGGCAAGAATGGAAATTGGCACACTTTGCATAAATCGTAACGCTGAGAAAGTCGTTAATTCTAATAGAAATTCTATCAAATTTTTAATTTTCAATATTAAAAACAAATATTTCGACTAATAAAAATGTCTTTCTCTTTTTCAATACACACACACATCATCTTTCAATGATTAAAATTAACATTTCCTTACATATTAATCATATCTTTTCCATTATAAAATTTTTTATATAACTCAATAAAATCTTTGTCCTTATTCATTAATCTCCATATTATAATAGAATATCTGTTTATATAATTGTCATTAGTTAGTTTCATAAAATATAACTTTACAGTCGTATACACATAAAGTGATTAGCATTGATATTTCCGGTTATTGGAAATATCCTGTTATCGCTCGAGTTAACACGAAGAATGCTTTCAGGCCAGACTGATGGAGAAACGCAGCAGCATAATGAAGTAAAGGAGTACAGGTATAGATATAGAGCACAACGCATTGCATATTTAATGACTATCGTAGTACTAACAAGTACAAGAAGCCTTAGATATGCAAATTCAAAAGTCCCGAATGGATTTCCTATATCATCATCAAGAGCGTTAACATGACGGCGGAACTTCATGTATCACGGGGACAAATTATGGGAAATGGGAAAATAGCTATCAAGATTGTAATTCGTTCGCGTAAATATCACCGGATCACCGGATATAACCTGACTTAAAATATATCTATGCAATTTCTGCGCTGCAGCGCGCGACCTCTCCGTCGCGTCGGAACGAATTCCGCAGAGAGGGACCGACGCGGACAATACCCAACTATTGGTCCTATTCCGCGGAAGTAGATCCAATTTTTGCCCGCAATTTCGGAATCGGATAAAACACCGATATTCGAGGCACGCCGCATTATTGTCTATCCCGTTCCGGGCTCTCCTCCTCATCGACATCCAAGAGGCGCATTTGGCAAGCGCCGTTGTAGAAAACGAGTCTCGCGCGCGCGACTAAAAATCCCCGTTGACGCCAGTACGCGTCCGCGTCCGCCAGGTAACGCGTATCCGCGCACGATTATTCGAATCCCTCATGAATAATACAGGCCCCGCGAGCGCGCCAATCGTATCTGCAATTACTATCGAACGAATCGATTAACGTCCCCACCGGTGATGCATCGCGGAATGGCCGTTGATTACGGCCTTTTACGGCGTGTTTACGAACTGTACTTGACTCAGCCGGGTGGAATATGGTCGCGTGATCGCCCGATACGTATACTACGACGTACAACGTAACACACGATGACTCGCCGGTTCCCCGACCGTCCACCTAGACCGGTGATCAGCGCGACGATGTCGTCGCGGGTAGACGCCCCTGGAATATATACGTGGAGGGCGTCGTTACGCCGCCACGGCGAAATTGCGGTCGAGAACGGTCGGGGTGAACGGTCGCGATAGAGCTCTCCTTAAAAGCGTGCCACGGCATCCGGTTATCCAAAGCGTTCTTGAGATATTCGCTTCAAGCACCTATGTATATTGTAACTTAATTATTACAACGATGGGAAATACACAAGATCGGAACGTCATACCGAAGATATAATAATTAAAAATGAAGCAATAATAAAAAAAATTGAGAAATTTTATAATTCGGCACTCGCTAATTCTCATAATGCTTATATATTACTTTATATTGTATTATTCCCAGCATTTTAAATGCAAGATATGCATTTCTTTCCATTGAAAAGCTCCGTATATTATCGTAAATCTGTGCGTAGATATTGTCTGATATAATGATCATAATGATGAAGCAATCTATTCATCGATTATTCTATCTAAGTACGTAATATCCTTTAAAAAGCCGACTATCTTCATCGAGGAGCCTCGTAAATGTTCAACCACGTTACCGAAGCGGAAATATAAAAGAGAATTAATCGAGTCGGGCGGCGCCACTAATAGTTGTTTATGAAGCGGAGGCCGCCTTCAATTTAAGTTTCAAGAAAGTTCCCCTCTTGCGCGCGTATCAAGGTCGCTACAATTCTTAAAGGCAGTTACTTCGGAAGGAGATAGATGGATGTTTCCAATGGCTCTCCTTGCATCCTCCGATACTTATAAAATCAATACGTTTACACTAGACTTGCAACGAATATTAGGCAACTATTCGGTAATCTGCCTATTCGGCAACATTTTTACTATTCGGCCGAACACCGAATATTAGTCTACTATTCGGCCGAATACCAATTAATGTAAAATTGGCAGGAAATAGCTAATAGACTGTTGCCACCTCAGCCGCGGATGCGTTTTAACATGCAATGAGTATCTAATTTATTTATTTATATATCTAATAAAATTGAATTAAATCAAACACATTTACATAATGTATTTATTTAATACACGCTAATAGTGTGTATTTTAATCATTGTAATTAAAATTAAGAAGCGGAAAATTGTGATGCAAAAAAAGTTTTTCTGCATTGGAAGGAAGCAGTCTATTTCTTTTTTCTTCATACATATTACCTGCATGCTTCTGAGAAAAATCGTTCTGAATAAACACTGCTCCCGCACTCTCAGAAAAGAATTCTAGATACAATACTATTAGGATCGAAATA